TTTTCTTCAGCAGTGAAGGTGGATAAAGCTTAGCATGTAGAGTGCTGGAGGAAAACTTGCTAAAGTCTGATTTATAATTTCAGCAGAAAAGATGAAACCTTTTAAATAAAAAAATAGAAAAATGTAGCTTTCTTAAAGCTACAGTGTGTAATTTTCAGCGACATCTAACGTCCAGACTGCAGACTGCAGCAACATGAACATCTCCCCCCCACCGCTTCTCCCCCCCAACAGTACGGCGAGCGTTACGGGACAAAATGTCTTCCACGACATCCGCATCACCTACCTTCTCAAGTGATGAGGTTTGTTTACATAGATAATTTTACAGATAGTATTCTAAGGCATAATACTGCCATCTATTGTTCAGTACCGTCTCAGTTCATCTCTCTCAACTTGCCGTAGTTACTTTCGAGCGTAATGGGCGATCTCGCAATCGCTAGTTTGTTGGCTCTGCGCTGCCGTAGCGCAAAGATGTCTGCCTCCATGGCTGCGAGACCCGCTCCTATGTAATTATAAATAACGAATTCTAAGGCAACGCAAATATTAAGGTTAAGAGGCTGAGCTCGTAGATCATGATAAATAACATAGTTATGTATAATATATTACATTTCTGACTGTATATCCCTGTAATTATTACACACTGTAGCTTTAATGTACAGCCAAAGTTACAATATAATGTAAAGTCTTTTCTTCCTTCATATTAGCCTATAGTCAAAGTCTACACAGGAAGACGGTGTTTAGCACCACTCCATCCAATTTGTTTTGCATTCAAGAACACGCAAAACTGATACATAATAGAAAAGACTTGAAGCTCTACTATGCAGAAAACAGTTGTTGAAGACACTTTAATTCAGGGGCTCCATAGAAATGCATGCATCACTGTCAATATTTTATAACTAAGAACTTTCTGATCATTAAATTGGTTTTGCCTATCTCATAATATTCCATTAAAAAGTATAAAAAGTTTCCTTTGGTAAAGCAACAATGTTTAAGAGGCGATAATATCTTTGTGAAGCACTCTCTGTCACTATATGCATGGTGTAGCACAAAACCTAAAATTCTAAGATCATTAAAATACAATCATGTGTTTGTTTGTTTTTTTTTAATAGAAATGATTTGCGAAGAAAGTATAAGGTTGCATGAAACAACTGAAGCAAAGATATCAGAAAACAAACTCAGACCTCATGTGTATCAAGCTTTGGATTGGCTGAAAAAGGGGACAGAATTAGGATCCACTGGGGTGCATTTTGGTTTAAGTACCAGCAGAGAACTCATGCAAACTCCATGCAGAAAGATCCAAGGCAAGGCAAGCCAAGTTTATTTGTATAGCATAATTCTGTACATGGACAATTCTAATTGCTTTACATGAATAAGATAATAAAACTGAGAAAAAATATATAAAGCAGAATACAAGCAAATAAAGAAAAAAAAAAAACATGAGTAAAACAAATACAATAGTTGGACCACAACCTTAAACTAAAAGGTAAGTGATTAAAATTAGGGCTTTCATGCTGCAAGGCAGCAGTGCTACAAACTGAAAAACTTTAAAAAAAAAATGTATTTTTTTTTTCAATACAGAAGATATAGTAAAATACATTCAAAGGTATACTTATTTTTATCTTAGATTTTATTAAGTAGACTATCATAAGATAACAGAGTTGCTACTTCATTATGTTAGCTTCCTCAATGTTTTTTTAATTGCATCTTCAGAATTTTAAGAAAGATCTTTCTCCTTTAATCTTACCTCTAATAAATTTAAAAAGTATTGGTTATCCTAATTCACCTAAAACATGCAAACTTAAATGTCTGACAATGAACAATGAATGTAAAAATCTGGTCTTGGATCAATGCTTTTCTTTTTTGCATTTATAAATGTACTTTGATACGATAACTTCCTCTTTTTATACCTAATGCATTAGCTTTTATCACTTCCCCTGGAAAAACCTGCTCTCTTTGACCGAATAATAATCTTACTGACAAAAGTATTAGGATTACCAAATTGTTCGAAAAAAGACTCACTTGATCTTTATCTGCTTTTTATGACTTTAATATTTAAACACATAACATATTTGGGAACAGAGGGATAGGCCACATGTTAGAAAATGACATTAAATGAATGTCTCCTCAAAAAAGACAAGGGAAATAAAGGTTCTGCATCTTGAAAAAGGAGGGAATTGAGATTTTCCAATAAGATGATAAATTAGAATAACAAAATTCAGGCCAACATCATGTTGCTATATAAATGACAGTAACATCTAGGACATTGTAAAGGAAGAAAATATTCTAACATAGTTAACTTTGGAAAAAGGTTGGCTTCTCATTCTTCCCTCTCCAGGTCCACCCGGCGAGCTGCGTTTGGTAATAAAAACCAACATTGCGTGTTGACGTCACAGAATTACAGAGTTTAATCCAATATAAGACAATGCATAAACTTAGAAATAAGACAATGCACAAACCTACACCAGAAACTGCAGAACAACAGAGACATACATTCCATTACCTGACATAGGAGGAAAGAAAGCAAAGACGTACAAAGACATCTTTGGAGAGTTTGCCAGAGCAAAATCTGATCTGTAACTTCTATTTAGAAAGCTTTATCCTCTTGTATCTAATCCATTCAAAAAGGGCTGGCCCTCGGTCCTCCAACCAAAAGCCATCTCTGACACTGCCTAGAGCTTCCCCTTATTTACTGCAAACATCTGGGGTCATTTGCTTCTTTGTTTTAACAAGAAAAGGCGGAAAGCTTGTCCTGGCATCTAGAATTCTTAAGGTCATAAAACACAAGATAAGCTTCCACAGACAGCTTGTGGAATGCAGGGGGCCTCACCATAAATTCTCAGGAACAAACTTAAATTTAGTAATCTGGTTCAAGGAAAGGTTATCTTCACAAACTTGTTCAAAATAAGAAATATGTTCACAAGGAGAGTATACAACATACCTTTTACACATGCCATAAGATTAGCTGTATTAAAGACTAAAAATAATCATTTTTCTTTAACAACATCCAATTTAAGCACGTCCTAGATTGTGTGCTATACATGACTTCTTTTGGTTTGTTAAAACTTTAGTGAGACAAAAAATCAAAAGCAGAATTAATCTATAAAGGGTAAATGATTTTTTTGAAAGCAAAACAGACGTATCTAGATAAAGTTGAGCAGACTTTTCCACCATGCATTGCACCATAAATATGTCTGTTTTAAATTTTTATCAATCCTTTCCTTTTATCATGCTCCTTTGGAATTATGCAGCTTTTAAACTATCTGTTTTCTCACAGTGAGGCAGGCATATTTGACTTCTGAGACCAGAGTCACAAACAGTCTAATCTAGCAATAAAAAAGATAAGGGCACCTGTTTACAATAAAGCTCATTAATATCAGAAGAATGGAGTCACAGGGTGCTAATTTATTCACCTATATCCACATGATGCTTTGTCTCAATTTAATTAAATTCATTGTTTTTATTTAGTGCTAATTCACAACAGTTATAGTTAATTTTTTTTTAACTGATCAAAAAAAGGATGTGCTTATACATTTGCAGTTCAGCATACTTCCCAAGCATATATAACAATAATTGTAGCCATAATTTTAGTTAAAGCAGAAAGGACGAAGTAACTAGGATTTGTAGTATTTATTTATTTAAGGATCCCCATTGGTCTCTACGAGAGTTTTTCCGTAATAATTCAAAAATTATCTCTCTATGAGAGTAGAGATTACTCTTCCTGGGGTCCACTTTATGGGAACCCATAATTTCATTTATTAGCCTCCATGTCTGTTTATTGTTACCAAATTATTCATTTGATAGCAGTAGTTGAGTTCTTAGGTATTTCTTGTTTGCCCTCTGTTGCCATCTTGTGTCAGTCTCTTTCCCCTTGCTCCCTTCTAGATTCCTCTGTCCACACCTGCTCTCAATCTGCTGATTAGCCTGGGGTCTGTTTCATGACGCAGGTTTAACAAATTCAGATTAAAATTCACACCCTAAAAATATCTAGTCTAAAGTCAGGAACTCTGAATGTTCGGTTTCGCAATGGCTGCTATCAAGTATTTCAATTAATTTTAACTAGGTCCACTCAGAGTTAAGAGCATGCGCATCATGGAAGAAAAGCCATCGGTGGAGCACCGATTCAACCACTCACTATGACAACAAGCAATAGGAAGTGCCTATTTCACCCCACTGGAACTAGAGATTTTAATGCTGAAATGCAAAAAATAAAAAAAGGAGAATGTGTTTAAAAGACAGAAAAACAGAGCTACAGCTTCAATGGTAGAGGAAGGTGGCGAAGGAAAAGATCGTTGCTGGAGTTAAAGCGTAAGTTTATATGAAATGAGCTGTGGCTGGTCGTTATACATTTATTAAAACCTCTCTCCTCTCCGATGTTCCATTTTTAGATCACTAAAATAAGATTTTTCCTGATCAAAATCCCACTCCTAGACCTAACTGTAATAATATATTTTCTGAATTACATTTTTGCAGCAGAAACTGAATTTTAGAGTAAGAATTAAGTTTTATATATCTAGAAATGTTTACACATTTTTAGTGGCCGTTCTCACATTCATCTGCTTGACAGAAAATGTATTTCTGATATCTGACAAACATTTTTTCATAGTTAAAATAATACAAATGCTGACCAGTAATATAAGGAATATGGAGATCTGAGGTTAACTTATAGACATCCAGAATGCTTATTCTAGATGTGGAGAATATCATTTTGTTTGAAATGGTAATTTAGGCAAAGAATTTTTTTTTTTCAGATATCATACATATTCAGTAAAACTAGAACATATAAAACTGACTTGCCACAATTGTTGTTACCGTGAAAATATTACAGGATTATTTCTTGAATTGCAGTAGATCAATATATCTATGTAGGTGAAATCTTCTGGCAGCAGGTGAAAATGAAGTCTAAAAACGTTGTTCTAATATGTGGAACCTGTTCATTATCTCATGCATCCCTCATGTTGATTCAGTTTTCTTTTACACAGGAAAATGGTTGTTTGCAGCCTGCGTTCTCGTCTCAAACCTCCACTCAACCTGACATTTACAACATTTGCAACTTCTGTTTCACCTGATAAATTGTCCTCTGCAGAAAAAGTGGATTTATCAGAAAACCAAAACAAATTAGACAAATTATATCAAGCTAAGGCTGACGGTGCTTATGTTAGATCTAGAAGGCAATGGATAGAGGAAGGGCATATTTTTTTAGACTGGAAAAATCACAAATTGCTACCAACACAATTCACCGACTTCTTATAGATAATGTTATATATTATAAGGATCTATACAGCTCCAAATATTGTGAGAATAATGCTAATAAGTTTCTAAATTCTTTGACAGACTTAAAGCAAATCACTCAAATGACCGAGATTTTTGCGATCGTCCTATTACATTAAAATAAATACTTGATTCTGTTGGGATCTGGAGGTTTGTCCACTTTCTCCACCAGAGGGCGCACGAGATCTCCTGGAGCATGAGCTGTCTACAACACCTGTCCTCTATCTGCTCATCAGGAGGCTCCCTACTTAAGGAGGCAGAGACCTACACTCCAGTGCCAGAGTGTTTGCCAGTAATGGTTAGCAAAGCCTGAGCCAACCTGCCTGTCTGAGTCTTCTGACTTTTTGTGAACTAAGCCTGATCCTGTTTACCTTTCTGTCTCACAGATCGATCCTGCCTGACAAACTGAAATCCTGGAGAGTTGTCTCTGCTGGTTACCTGCCTACCCGCTCTCAGTTGAACTCTGGAGGGCTGCATCTGTCTGTAATCTGCCTGCCCGCCCTCAGAGATAACTTGGAGAGAAAAGACTCAGTCAGAGATCAGCCTGCCTACACTCAGTAAGCTCTGCCTCCGCCCACAGCCCTCTGCCTGCCGACAGCCTCTGGTCCCTCAAGGTTCCCCCCCTCTGCAGCTTCACTCCACTCCAGAACAGGTATAACCCTGAACATCAAACAACCAGCAATATACCTGGACCAACACTAACCCCTCTGTCCTCCTCAGTGGTGAACCCACTCCTGACCAGTCAACCACCCCCTTGGACCAGTTCATTTATTGTACATTTCTGTAATTAAACCTTTGAACTTTTTCTCTGCCTCCGAGTGTTTCTGCATGTGGGTTAGACATCTTAATCCCAACATGACAGATTCAATTAAGTGCCTGAAAAATAATAAATCACCTGGAACAGATGGTTTGCTGTCTGAGTTTTATAAATCATTCGCTGAAGATCTTGCTCCATTCTTATTGGTGGTCTGTAATGAAAGTATTACTAAAGGAACTCTTCCTCCCACCCTAACTCAAGGACTGATTACTCTGATTCCCAAACCAAAGAAGGATCTGTTACTTATAGATAACTGGCGTCCAATTAGTCTACTAAATAACGATTACAATATCCTGGCCACAATTTTTGCTAAGCGATTAAAGTTAGTTCTGGATGATATTATTGAAGAAACACAATCAGGCTTTTTAAGAAATAGACACATCGCAAATAACATTAGGCTTCTGCTCGACATATTAGATTACCCCGATTTGATAAATGATGAAAGCTTTATCCTTTTCCTGGACTTTTACAAAGCATTTGATTCAATTGAGCACAACTCTGTTTTTGAATCATTAAACCTATTTGGTTTTGGTCATTTTTTCTGAAGTACTATTAAAACATTATATAATAATGGAAATAGTTCAATCAAATTGAAAAACGGAACATCCCCAAGATTCGACTTGAAACGCGGTATACGGCAAGGTTGTCACATTTTCCCTTATTTCTGCTATCAACTCAACTATTGGCTAATCACATAATAAATAGTCAATTGTGTGGAATGTCAGTTCTGGACAAAAGAATTATCAGCCAACTGGCTGATGATACAACAATTTTCTTAAAAGACTCTTCTGAAGTTTCTCTAGCACTTGAATTGATAAAAGTATTTTCTGAGGCTTCTGGTCTTTACTTAAATGTGAGCAAATGTGAATTAATGGCTGTTAAGAAATGTGAACTCTCTCATCTCTGCAATATTCCAATTAAAGAAACCATTAATTATTTAGGAATAACGTTAACCAAAACACAGGATACTAGGTGTGACCTCAATTTTAGCCCAATTTTAGAAAGAACAAAGAAAAGATTTAATTCATGGCTCCAAAGAGATTTATCCCTTCGGGGCAGAATTTTACTTTCTAAAGCTGAAGGAATATCCAGACTGACCTATGCCAACCCAGTCTCATGGGAAAATGTACCCCCACTACGTTGGTCCACACTGCAAAACGTAGTGGAGGTACATTAATGGCAATTTTTTTGTGGTACTTCTAAATTTCTTCTGCCTATACGCTTTCTATTGTTTTACGTCCTAGTCACGTGACTTTCAAGATTCCAGCTGGGAGAAGAAAAAAAATATATATATATGGCCGACATTCGCTCATTTTTTTGTGGAAAGATTAATAACTTGAGTTTGTTTTTGCATTAAAATGAGTTTTGATTACATTTCTAGTGAGAAATGTATAGTTTGTTGCCTGAATATTTACTCAGGGAATGTACATATTCACTTGCTTGCACTGCATGAAAAGTGGGATTTTCGTCAATATGCGGCACTGTAGATTGTCGTGGAACTTCAGGTTAGCGGCAGTTTAAGGCAATTTGCAGGCTTCGCCGAAAACTCCCGTAAATTGTCAGAAATTGATGTGGACTTTCTTAGGCAGTGTTCCCCCCATGCCTCCCCCCCATGGAATTCTAGGGGAGGCTTTAACATGTAAATGAACATGCTGTGAGCTATACAAATGCAAATCAGGGTTGCAGGGGGGGTTCTACTCCAAGTGACATTTTTCTAAAAGGTAAGAAAATCTCTGATACAAAGAGATCAGGCTCAGTATAGACTCTTACATTTTAGCTTGAATTGATTTATTTAATTAAAGTATAGAGACCAAAACAGATCTTTAGCTGACAGAGCAATACATTTAGAGCAGTAATTATTTAAAAAAAAAATTGCATTTAAGGTAAAAAATAAAATGTTGTCTGTCAATATGCTCAATTCACAATAACTTAAGTGGAAAAGTTTCAAGAAATGAGTCTGAGATGATTCACTTTATAACATGGCGCATTATCCTGTTGGAAGTAGCCATCAGAAGATTGGTACACTGTGGTCATAAGGTCCGGCCAGGTCAAGATCCGCAATTGCAATCGCACCAAACAGGAAAAAGAACATCGACAAATTCTGGTTCGTCAAATTAAAATATAGCAGCAACAGATCGGTGACTAGAAATTATAGCACAATTCTTATATATATAAAAAAAAAAACTAACACCCTTTATTTAAATGATTGGATCCAAACTATTGGTTATTCACCAACGAGGAAGGAGATTTCTCATCTCCATCAAAATATTTATTTTATACCGAGGGACTTAAACTTTAATCAAATCCATTCAAAAGAAACTTCTTATTACAGGAATGAAAAGAGATGCTGAGTTTGGGAGTAGAGAACAAGTTCATTAAAAAAAAGCTGTTTTGAATTATCCTTATCCCCGTTACAAAAATCTACAAAAAAAAAAAAAATATATATATATATATATATATATATATATATATATATATATATATATATATTTTGGCAGAAACTGAACATATGCTGGATGATGGTGGGATTTTTTTAATATGTCATATTAAATTAAGCGCTCACAGGGTTCATACAGGAATGAGTGACTCTAATTTAATGCTATTTTAATGCTATTAGAAATGGTTTTAATGCCATCAACAAGAACCATGTACACAAGTTATTAGTGTACATGAAATATGAAGGAGCTGTAAGCATAGTTCCATGACTCCTGTATGTATGTAAACACACACACACACATATATACGTATATATAATATCCTCTAGCTTTTTCTCCGCCTGGAGCGATATAATATATCTGACGAAATTGTTTTTATAAGCATTTTTTATTAAAGAATTATAAATACTTCGATAAACATATTTAAATAATTTTAGTGCCAATTAAGGCCTTGATTTAAAAAAAAAATGAATGAATTTTTAATTATTTTTATTGATCCGCGGAAACCCTGGTTCATCTCGCGCATGCCCTCTACGATCTCCAAGAAACTCAGAGCGGAGCGGACGGGAGCCACAGCGGAGGATGTATGCTTTGCTTTGTGCAGGCGGTCTGGAGCAAATATATACAGATGCATCAAAAGAGGAAAATGGTAAAACAGGAGTAGCAGTATATATTCCAAAAGAAAATATTTCTATCAAGAGAAGAACAACAGATAACTTCTCAATTTTTTCAGCAGAGATGTTGGCAATTATTTTGGCATTGCAATGGGTGCCTGGAGGTGTGTTTGGATACGCGTTGTATATAGTTGTGTGTGTTTTAATAAAGCTCTTTCTTTGCATAAACAGCTTCCTGGCAAATGTTCATTTCCTGTATAAATTCATTCATGTCCTTGATGGTAGCCTAATAATTGTGTAGTAGTGTAGAATAACATAAATACACAGCATATGAATGAATAAATATATACCGTAAATCCTCTAATATAGGCCTTTATTTCACTCAAGTGCATCGCGGTCCAGGCCTTTATTGGAAAGAGGCCAGAATTAGAGACAGGCCTCTATTGCTATTTGAGCAAAACAGACCACCAGTGGAATGAATAAAAATGAGATTTTGTGTCTATTTGAACCTATAAAACACTAGGTTCATTTATTGAAAAAGTACAGTTACCATGTCTCGCTTGGTTTGAAGTAAAAAAAAAAAAAAAAAAAAAAAAATCCTCCAATTCTGTTTAATCCTCCTCCTCAGTTTCCTCCTCCTCTTCATCTCTCCCTTTAATCTCCTCATCACTCGCGCTCCTCCTCATGTTCTGCTGCGTGTCTGTTCTCTTCCTCGCGCAGACGGGCAGCAGTCAGGGCCTGTTGTCCAGCAGCGCAGGGCTGTGGTACTTGTATGTTACTACCACAAGTATAATGTTGAGGTATGCCCAGAAAAAACGTTTATAGCCCCGGCCTGTATTAGAGACCGGCCATTATTTACCTCCTCTGACAGCGAGACCGGCCAATGTTAGAGTCCCGGCCGCTAATGGAATACAGGCCAATATTAGAGAATTTACGGTATATTCATAAATATATATATGTAAATTTATATGTAAATATATATATATATATGCCAACCAATCACGAGCGACTTAACTAATTTAAAAAGAAGTGGTTCCGTCCAATACTCAGTAAGAAAATTAAAGCCTGGCGTGGCCACGTGTGGTTTTGCTGCCAATCACGAGCGATTTCACTTGTTTGAGAATAGTGGTTTCAGCCAATACTGAGTAGGTTATTCAAGCCAGACCTGGCCAGCCGCCCGGGTTTGCTGCATTCATATGCTAATTAGGGCCATTAGTACAGCTGATCGCTCTCCACATACGTCAGAGTCCGTTTCCGACAATTTGTGGCACGACAAACGCGGACAAGCGCGGGTTGCAAATTGTCGGAAACTGACGAAAATCAGGGAGATCTGCGGGAGTTTACGGGGATGAAAATCTCACTTTTCATGCAGTGTTGTTCGTTTCTTGCAAAGATTTTTCAAGATAATGTGAAACTGTAACGTTTTGGTATAAACATGGCCGAGATTTCTCTAACTTTTAGTGGGAAAATCAATAATTTCAATCAGTTTCTGCATTTAAATGGGTTTTGATTACATTTATAGCGAGAAGTGTAGGGTTTATTTATATAATATTTACTTAGTGAACATACATAATCACCCGCTTGCTAGTTTTTGCTACGGTTTTTCGGATCTCGTTAGGATTATGTGAAATTGCAACGTTTTGGCTGCTACCTATAGCCTAGCATTTAGCTGCTGCCCCGATTCAACATTGAATTCTTTGTGATTTAACTCCATCTGACGGATCAAACCCTCGTCACTGTGTGCGTTGCGTCTGAGGTTGATTTTCAGATCAGTGCATTACGTCGTGGCATACAGTATGTATTGGGTGTTACTGGAAAACTGGTCTCTCTGAGATGTGATTATTTGCTGCAGTACTCCAAAAGTAAGCATTGGAAGTTTGTGAATGTAGGATAAAGCGTTGCTTCCAGTGGCTACCAGAAAATTGACCTCTGATCAAAATACTACAAATCATTCAATTAGCTTCAGTTACATTTATTTTAATGGATTTAACAGAAATACAAACAAGTGTCCCCCTAGTTCAAAACAATTGGTTCTGAAAACGTGATTCCAAACCTGTTCACTGACTGGACTAATATTGTGTGAGACTGTCCATCTGCAATAAAACATTCTTTCATATTTTGTTGATTTTTTGTCAAGTTTTAAACAAGGGCGAAAATATGTCCGCTCCCATTTTGATGCATAATTGTTAAGATAATTATGTCTTGCTCTGTTTTTTTGTGTCTTGTAAATTGATGCATGTGAAAAAAAAAACTAGAGATTATATTTGAGGTATTGTGAAGACATGCACACATGTTGTTGAAGGTTGACATAATCTACTGCAGAACCTCTTAAACTGCTTGTTCAAAAACATACTTTTTAACGGTTCCTCCGGCTTTGATTGTTGAACAGTATATTTAAAAGAGTCCTCATGCAAGCATCTCTTTTTTAAGCTCTCTCCTGAGGGTCAAGGTCTGGTAATTTTAGCAGGGCTTTCTAAACTTAGATTTTAAGTGGAGGTTTGGGGCTTTGCTGTTATGCATGTGTGGAGACTCTTAGTTTTGATCTGAAGAGTTGGTTGTTAGCAGTATGTTATACCAGGTCCTATCCCCATTAAGGTCCAACAGCTGCAACAGTGTCATTTACCACTTTGATATGGCTATTATTGATCATTCCTACATTTTGTACTTCACACAGCTTGTTTTAATGCTGGTGGTGGGGGTGGTGATTTTGCCTCCATAAGATATTACTGAAGTAACAAGCATGGTGCAGTATAAGTACTTCTAAAAGTATTTTTTTGTCAAAAAGGAACAGTAAATGTGGAGGAAGCTGTAGTACCTGGAGTGAACCTGCTCATGCATAGGGAGAACATGCAAACCTGGTGCAGGAACAAGCAAACTGGGATTTGATCCTTGTACCTCCTGGCAGTGATCCAATAGTGATTAGCAAAAGAAGGAAAAACTGGGTGCATTTTTCCACTTAGTCTGCTTATACCTGACTGACTGGATGGTTATTGCAGAGATGAAGGTTTAATGGATTAAATGCATGAAATAAAAGTAAGATAAAGCCATACCCTATGCTGGGGTGATTAGGTGTCTCCATGCTGTGATTTCATAGTTGCTGCCCTTAAACAGATAGATGGTGATGGTGAAGATGCAGGTATGAGTGGAGTCATCTTATGACTCAGACCAGGACTATACCACCGCTTGCATGGACATGCACACCCACATTATTATTATTATTTCATTTTAATCAGGATCCAAACTTGATTCTGTCTCTGCTGAGTGAACTCAAACTAATTACCTGGAGGGGGGATATAAGAACAGAAAAAGCAAAAGTAGATAGATTTAACTCTTTGGGGGAAAGTTTGTGTCTTTTGTGAGTGGATCCAATAACATAAAAAAAGAAAAAAGCAAGTGGCCCCTGCAGACCGGCTGAGGGGGCTGGGTCTGCGCTCCAGTCTCCTCATTTCAGACACATATCCAGGAAGAGACGCAGCAGTAACAGGGTTGGTAAGGACATATTTTTTAAATCCACTTTTAAAGGATCCTTAAGTTTATGAATTGTTTCATAATCGAGGAGTTAAATTCTTGACGCCTTTAAACCCTGCCTGCTCTCCCATCGTCATCAGGGCTCTGCTACAGATTTGGCAGTGAGCTTTTCCTCAGGCAGGCGTTTGGTCACTGGTTTATTTCCAAACCTGTGATCCCCGCCGGTCGGTGCTGCGTCCTGACGTCAGGATATTATAAGGAGCGGAACCGGAGCGGCGGGGCAGACGGCGGGGCTGAAGGGAAGAAAGGATACGGACCATGCTGATCTGATTCCTCACTGACTGGGCTTTCTGGTAGGGCTATTTCCTCACTTATTCCACCGTTTGCCTATATATGGACATGCATTAATCGGGAAAATATATTTTTGGCATTACTTCGCAAATTGGAGCTGTTTCTTTAAGTAAAGGCACCACCAAAAATACGGAAAACGAAAAATAAACTGATTTTCTCTCTAAGGACAGAGGCACTGCAGTGATGGGGTTCTCTCCTGCCTGTTCGCCTAGTTAACACATTATTATGGTAGTTTATCAGCAGGGTCCGCAGTTGCCCAATTTCCTTCCTTTTTACAGTAGAAATTCCTCCTGCAGTCCAGGAGGAGGTGGATGGAGGTAAAATATAGCAGTGCTGCCATGTAGAGCTGACTAGGAGAAGCCCTCTTGGTTACAGTGAGATGAAGGGGATTCCTCTGCTCTCCATCTCAGTCTGCATCAGCACCATATCACCATGGCAACAGTTGATGAAACCAGTACTCCCTGTTCCCAACATATCACTTAAAACATCTCACAGTCTCCAAAGGAGATATTTAAGGGGGGGTGCATGTCGTGTCCAGGGCCGGCCCACTGTTGTTTGAGGCCCGTTAGCAGATTTTTATTTGGGCCCGACTTCCAACTAAGACCTGTTATCATTATTACCAGTTTAGGAGATTAGAGAATTGGAGAAACTTTATTCTTTGTTCAAAGCTCATTTTTACAAGTCAAGTCTTAGCTAAATATAAAGACAACTAGATTCCACTGCATTGTTGTTTTATGAATTCAAATCATATCTATATCCTATATCCTCACTTTAACACAATAATAACATTGACACAAATGCAAATGTCCTTTTTTTAAACCATAAAAATGCAATAAATTGCTGTGGATTTTTTTTTTTTAACATGACTGAATGTAATATTAAACATACTGCAAATATAAACTTGCAAGTGAAAGGAAAACAGAATAGCTTGGCCATTCAAAGTGCTGCATGAAAAATACAACGGCGTGGCATAAAGGAAATGCAAATATTTAAAGAGAATCAAAATGAACAATTGAAAAAAAATGATTATATTTAAAAAAAGATAAGATGATTTGTTAAAAAAAAATGTTTTGGACTAAAACCTTAAACCAGTAATGTTTTCACAATGAGTCCAATCTCAACAATGTAATCTTGTTTCAAAGCAACTGAGAGTTTCAGCACTTTTACAATTTTCTGGACGTTTATTCCAGACCAGAGGAGCATAGGAACTAAACTCTGATTCTCGTTCTTTGGTTCTGGTTCTGGGTGTACAGAGTAGACTTAAGCCAGAAGACCTGATAGATCTGGGATGTTGATGTGTGAATGTATTTATTTGCAAAGCCATTCAGTGATTTATACAGTTGGAGAATTATTTAAATCTCTATTCTTTAATATATGAGGAGCCAATGTAATGATTTTAGGACTGTGCTGATGTGCTCCATTTTCTTAGTTTTAGTGAGGATGCAGGCAGCAGCATGCTGGGTCAGCTCATCAACTGTGAAGACTTTATTGATGTAATCATTTCTACTGAAGATGAAAGCATACATTTGTTTTTCAAGGCCCTGCTGAGACATTAACCTATAATCCTGTGATGTTCTTCAGGTGATAGATTGTTCCTCTGAAGGTTCAGGTCTGAGTCCATCACCACACCCAGATTTAGCCCCTGCTTCAGGTGGTTTCTAGCTTAATTAACCAAATCCATATGCTAACTTTTGAACTAAATATTAGTCAATACTTGTAAATCTTGAGTTCCCTATTGCTGTAAACATGAGGTGCTTTTATTTTGAAGAAACACACACCTTTTTGTGACGATGTTACAAAAGTACCTGCTCTAATAGTGCTGATTGTTGTTCATTGGGTAAATTATAGTCATCTATTGATCAGAAAGCTAGGGGTCAATTTAAGGCTTTAAATTGAACAGTGCCCAAAAGGCGGCTAAGTTGCATTTATACCTGCAGAGGCTGATATCTAGTTGTTTCTCCTTTATTCTACATTTAACCTTTTCATTTGAATGATTGACACTGAGCCTGTTTTAAGACTATGACAGCTTCTCTTCATTGCAGCCTGGTATAACTACTGTGATGCTCCATCAGTCATCTTTTGTTTCTTTCTCAAGTGGAAAATTTCTTCTAATAAGCATTGTGAAAAGGCACTTTCAAAATAAAATCCTTCAATCAAAGCCTTACAATTGATCAAAGAACTTAGAGATCGACCCACACAGGTTCTTTTTAAGGTAAATTACGATACCGATTATTTATTGGTCTAACTGATCAATATAATCAATAAGTGCTGCCGATATTTGTGGGCCAATATTTTTAGAGCTAACTTAGCTTTATCGTCCTCCTTTGATGTAATAAAAATTACAACAAATGCTACATATGTCTTAATCTACACCGAAAACAAAAATTTCGTAACAAATCGAGCAACACATTAACCACCGATAGCAAGTGGAGGAAGCTGTAATGCATGAGCTTCACGTGATCTTAAGGCATGGCTGCTGAATGCGCCCAAACTTTTCCACCTCTAGACTCTGGGTTGTTGGTAAATCTAAAATTTGCTTTCATTTGAAAAGAGAAATATATACCGTTGTGCATTTTTCTAGTCTCTTTCCAGTTTGTCCAGGTAGTTTGAAGTTGTCTCGTGTTACGTCCAAGTGCTGTCCCCACCTTCTAAATTTCTCCAAAACATTTAAAGGGCTTTGCTTCATGATTATCTAAAGTGTGTGGTTATCCCTGCCAGATGTGCATAGTTTTTCCCTCCATTAGACTCTTTTTTTTTTTTTTTTACATTTATTTATTGATTTTAACAGGAGAACAAGAAACATACATATATACACTTACAAATAATTAAACTTGACCAAACAAAAACCCAAAGTACATTTACACAAGGTGGAGGGGGAAAAAAAAAAATAATAATAATAATAATAATAATAAATAAATAAAAAAGGGGGGGGGGGGTGCAGCAGACCCTCAATAGACTAACCTACATAAACATCAGTTTGCCTCACCATAAGGCCTTATAACCACATTAGACTCTTATTGCTCTTATTGCTCTTATTCTTTATGCTTACTGTGTGAGAAACTGAACTGTGGGTTCTCACTTGATGCAATTTATAGTTATCTGTAATAAAATGTATGTGAATTTTACTTTTTCAATGGGATTAATGGAATAAATCTGCTTTTCAATCATATTCTGTAGTTATAAAAACTCTTATTCTGTGTTTGTGTCTCACCAGTGTTAGAGCACAGTCTGAGCAGAAGAGGGGGGCTTTTGAGTCCTGAGAGTTGCAGCTATGGGGAAGGACTACTACAAGACCCTTGGGATCACCAAGGGCTCCAATGAGGATGAGATCAAGAAGGCCTATCGGCGCATGGCACTGCGTTTCCACCCAGACAAGAACACAGATCCAAATGCGGAAGAGAAATTCAAAGAAATCGCAGAGGCCTATGAGGTACTCAGCGACCCAAAGAAAAGGGTGGTTTACGACCAGCTGGGAGAGGAAGGTGAGGAAGAAATGATCCCTGCTCTTCTTCTAAAGCTTTGATCAATGAAAGAAAACCTTCATAGAACATGCAGAGATTCCTGCAGGGCTCTGCCTGAGAAGCCAAAAGGCATTACAACCGAGATAACTCAGGCACAGATCTAATATCGCAAAATTGTTCTCCAGCCACTAAAGTAATAATTCCATCTCCTCCATGCTTTTTTATGTGTGTGATTGTTAGTTATTATGGTGTCAAAAACCATCACAAGGTCCAATAACTTATAGTTCACCTCAGCTGTTGGTTTGGTGTGTGTATGAATTTGTGTGTCCGTGTTTCCTGACAGACAGGTGGCTCAAGATCGTTCTGCTGCTGAGATATGAATAGGAGCAAATGCTGTGGTTTGCATCCGTGGGTGTTCTGCGCACGTTTGTGTGTATTTGTGTGAGCTTGTTGTTTGCTATGACCTCGTGTTTGAGCCGTTGCTCCTCCACCAGCAGCAGAACTGGAAGATCGGTGATGCTGTGGGATTTTTCCTGCCCACGCTTGGTTCATTATCTCAGCTGTTATCTACCCTCTGTGTGCGCTTTTTCAGCTGGGTTCTCTGTCTGGTATCTGACGTTTTGCAGACTTTCAGGGGGGAAAAAAAGCATTTCAAAAGAGCATACAATTCAATGGTCGATTTTCTAGGTTTTTTTTCTTTTTATAGAAAAAAAATATTTACCATAGATTGCCTAAATAACTGTCTTATCTATAGGCTGCATGAATCTCAAAATAATGCAGTGGTATTTTGTTGCAAATAGGTAACAAACCTTTGTTTTCCATATAAAGTCAAAATATCATGTTCATTCCCTCATTGCCAGTTTTTACATATTCAATGCGGACGTAGGAACCTTTGGCAAGCTCCTGTTTCCTTTACAAATGGACCTTAACAGTGTTTGTCATCATAGTCCGCTATTAATGTTCTCAAAAATTTTTATTACACCTAAATTTCAATTTTTGTTAAATAAATACAAATTTTAGAAGTTTCAATTTGGCAACTACCTAAAGTAATAACCTTTGTATTTTGCGGGGAATATCCTTTCATACCTAACCCTAATCCCAACCTAAACTAAATTTACACCTTAGCCCTAAACGTGACCCCTGTTCCGAAAACAGCAATTCCCTACATGGGGTCCAGGCAGCCCCAAAAGGAGCAGCCAGTAACTCCCAATGATTTAGGGCCTATTACCTGTTTGTATTTATGTAGTTCTATGTCAAAAACTAAAATGCTGATAGGTAAAATATTAAAATCAACGTGATAGGGCAGATCAAAGATATAAAATGTTATTTAGATACAAATGAATGCTTAATAGATGCTGCACAGTGGAGCAGTTTGTAGCATTGTTGCCTTGCAGCAAGAAGGTTCTGGGTTTGAATCCCGGCCCGAAGTCTTTTGCATGGAGATTGCATTTTCTCCCCTCGCATGCATGGGTTCTCTCTGGGTACTCTGGCTTCCTAACACACATGACATCTCTAAATTGTTCTTGGTGTGAGTGTGTGTGTGCAGGGGTGTACGTCTTTTTTGCGTCTCTGTGTTGCTCTGCGACAGACTGGCAACCTGTCCAGGGTGTACCCCGCCTCTCACCTATTGCTGGATTTGGGGACCAACCCAACCGCGACCCTGATAGAATAAGCAGTATTAGATGGATGGATGGATCAGCCCTAATATAAACATTTTTGCCTTCAGAAAATTGAATGAATGATTACTTTATTTCATACAATCTAAGGAAAAAAGAAATATAAATATAATGCCTGCAAACATTATGCTTAATTTATGACATATATAATTTGGTTACATGTATAATTTTGTGCTTGTCTGAAATTGAAAACAATGAGTCAGAAAATCCAAAAATCTCTTTGTTCACATTAGTAAAATAGTTAATACCATACTTTCCCAGCATGTTCTGTTTAAGCTGTTAGAGGATGTTTTTAATTTGTGCTTTATAATAAAGCGATTCCTCACAATCTGTTTTGTTGTAGGTTTGAAGACAGGAGGCAGCAGCTCTTCAGGTGTTCCTGGGAACTCGACGCACCACTACACTTTCCATGGAGACCCCCATGCCACCTTTGCCTCCTTCTTCGGGGGATCCAACCCCTTCGATGTGTTCTTCGGCTCCAGCCACAGCCGCTCCAACGGTTTCCCTTTCCACAGTGATCACAGCAACGGAGCAGAGCAGGATGCAGAAATGGATGAGGATGACCCCTTTGCTCATTTTGGGAGACAGTTTGGCTTTCCAGGAGGAATGAACAATGGCTTTCCAGGGGAGGGCCGCAGGAGGAGGGGGGCAGCTTCATCAGAGCGTGTGGGGACCAACCGTAAGCACCAGGATGCTCCAGTGGTTCATGAGCTGAAAGTCTCGCTGGAGGAGATCTTTCACGGCTGCACCAAGCGTATGAAGATCACTCGTCGCAGGCTGAATCCAGACGGGCGTAGCATGAGGACAGAGGACAAGATCCTCAACATTGTCATCAAGAAGGGCTGGAAGGAGGGGACCAAGATTACTTTCCCAAAGGAGGGGGACGAGACCCCGGAGAACATTCCCGCCGACATAGTGTTTGTACTTAAAGACAGGGGGCATGCCCACTTCAAAAGAGATGGTTCCAATATCATTTATAACTGCAAGATAACCCTGAAAGAGGTACGTCCCACTTCCTTCATCTCTGTTTATCCTCTTATGTTGCAGTTCTACCCACAGTTTGTTTGCTAATGCTTCAGAGAGTGGGAGTTTGATTCCCAGTGGGTCCAGCCAGGCAGATTTTCACTGCAGTGATGCAGATGGGGAGATTGGAAACAATAACCAGAAATGGCCTGGTTGGGTGGCTTGTGAAAATATTTTTGAACTTTTTCACATTTTTAGTATGACAACCGCACCTTTCAGTATATCATTTTTATTTTATCAGACAGAACAGCAGGTTTTAGTTTAGAAATGGGAAGGAAGGGGAAAGGATGAAAGATTTTTATATTTCTTTACATATGAAAAATATTTGGTTATTTATTTATTTTATTTTTTTATGTTTTGTACAGAATTGCAGCATTCAAAATGTTTTCTACGTCCCAAGTAGAAGCCCAAAAATTTTATTCTTAGGTGAACCTTGAGACATCAATTCAGCTAAACTGACCAGCAGGGAAAATTGAGCATCATTCAGAGACTCTGGAGGAGCTGCAGAGGATTATGCTCTATTTTTTATTTGGTCTGTAACAAAACATCCACATTAAACGCTTTGCTTTTGTAACATGATCAATTTGAAAGCGTTTAAAGTGCATGAATCCTTTTTTCAATGTGCTTTATTCTGCCTCCTTTCCCAAAGTCCTGAAGCACTGCTTCTAGGTGTATACACATGTAAGGTGAGGAAGGATCAGTCGGAGCAGAGCCTCTGCCACTGAGGTGAGAGAAACAGCAGGAATGTGGTGTCCTGGTGTGAAAGGCATCGAACCATCACCCTCATTTGTTGTGTGCATGAAATCCCAAAGATAAACAATTAGGAGAGCACACAAGTATCCATCTACTGCACACATTCAGTTAAAGATGGATTGAAGTGTTACAGTGGTGACAGTCCCAGCAGCTATTATTGCAACTGGCAGGATATTTAATTTGGCTGCTCCTCCATTTTGGGGGGCAGTGAGTCCACCATTGCTTTAATATTTCCATTAAGGTTGCAGTGTCTTTGTCTTCAGTCCGCTTAATGACAGGTGCCCCCAGAGCAGCAGTCTGTGCAGTTCTTTGTATTCAACTTAAGCAGATCTGAATTTATTTTTTATTTTTTAAGAGCTTCAGCAACACTTTGAAATAATCACTGAGGTAATGCAGAAGTGGCCTCACAGTGCGACTGTACAGACTAAAACACTTTGAGTTTAGTGAGTCATATTTAAAAGCTGGAGATGTTTTTAAATCAAAACCTTAAAAAGCGATTGAGTTTTGCACTCTACAACTCCTACAGCCGAAACCTTTTCAGCTGGATAAGAGAATTAAGTCTGATGGAGTCAAATATGAGATGAGGCAAAGTAGGGGGAAATGTTTCTGGGGTGGGGGCTTCATCCTGGGAAATGGGTCAGATGACTTGGTTTCCACAGCAAAAAAGAAGCTCATAAATCACTCCTCCCTCCGCTCTCCGTTTTCCAAAAATGCTAAGGAATGCTGCAGTGAAAACCTATGATTAAATACAGGCTGAGCATGCCACAATTTATTAAAATGGGAAATATGTCATGAACTCTAAAAACAACCTTTGTCACGGCCATAACTGCTGCTCTAAATAAGAGCCAGCTTCCTAGCTATAAGGACCAAAACAGAAGAGGATGTGTTGATGTCGTCGTATTAAATATTACGTCAGATTTTTGACAGCAGGGTTCTTCTATAGTTTGCTCAGGTTAGCTTTCTGCCAGGAGCATGCCTCAGTAGACATCCAGAGTTTAGAGCTGCCAAGTCTTCTTTAACATGCTGTGCCAAACATGGGAGTCTTAAAGCCCTGCTGTGTTGTCACTGTGACAGCAGCCACAAACAACAGGAGTTATACTTCAAATCTGACAAACCAATTTTTTCTCCAGATCCCAATCCTGTCAAACCTATAGGAGGCCCCCATATGACAACGATAATGGCTCCCTGTGTTAGGATTAAATTGAATGCCATTATATCTGCTGATGCTCATGTCAAATCTTAAAAAATATGACATTAGTTTAGGTCAATTCTAACATTTCCATTTAGTATAAATCCAATAAGCTAAATAAGAGGTTTAAGCCAGCAACTACTTTTGCAAACCAAAATAAGTGCCTACCATCTTGAAGCATCTCCAGTATCAGAAATAGTCTCAGCAGTAGATGCAAATGCTGGATATTGTGTGCCCCCATTGATCCTCCTGTATGAAACCTATTTGGAAATCTTCAGAGTATTGCAAAGCTCTGACAGGAAAATAAAAATGGAGCAGAATCAAAAGAAAATGCATTGTATAATCAATGCAATAAAAGGTTTTATTCTATCTCCATGTAAGCAAAAGGTAACAAATAGTGATTCCTATTGCAAAAACAGTTTTCAATCTGACTAAGGCATCTCTTTTAGCTTAGTAGACCTTTTTCTATTCTTTAAAGTTGTAACACCAATGCATCCACTTTTTTTCTCTTGCTTTACTTCCAAATCTACTCTTATTTAGGATAATCTACTCCATATACCTACATCAGACTATCTGTACTACAGTTCACAGAGTTTGGACTGAGGCCAAACTTATGAAATGTCACAATAAAACTCTATATGATTTAATTATATATAAATTAAAATCAATTATAGAAAGAAAAAAAAAGGTTCTGTAAGGATTGAACACTGAAAGTCTATCAAATAAATTTCTTCAGAAAAAAAACTTAAATTAAACAATAATGTATTGCTGAACTATAAATGATAAATGGATTAAATTATTCTAAAATATAAGCATATTAATGAATGATTATACAAAACCAGTGCTGGAAAGATCAATGGATCAGTTATAGTTTTTTTTTTATATTTTTATAAATGTTAGATCTTGAACTGATTGCAATAACACACAATTATTATGCATGTTTTCCCCCAGATACAGATCATAATTAATCATAATCCTGGGAGCTACTTGACATTAACCACAAATTTTATTTGTCATCTAGTAACATTACTATATCTTTTGCTTTCTGCTGTCCTCAAAAAAAGCAAAACATTTAAAACAGAATGAATAACAGATATACAGATATGCTTGAGGGTTTTATATATAAAACCCTCAAGCATATATATATATATATATATGACTTACATTTGTATCATTTTGATGTATTATTACGTTTGTGAATTGCATTATAGAGTTTGTAATCTTTCAAGCACAAATGTAAAGGTAAAGCAATGTAGAAGACTTGATCCTTATGCTGATTTAAGTACATAGACATCACATTTGGTATAAAATACATCTACTGAAAATATGAGGTGAGTTAGATGTTTATAAAACACTGAGCAGATACTTATGATGTTCTTCAAAAGGAATGTTAAAAAAACTCTGCAAAGTACTATATCATGTTTAAAGTAAGAGCTTTTTCAGAACCTGCTTTGGTCTCTGCCTATCTCCGATTAGCTGTTACCCTCTAGGATCAATAAATGCTTCCAAATAAGGACGTTAACAGTTATCTGCTGTTAAGGTGTTTACTGCTTGCAAACTTTAAGCAAAAATTTACTTTAAAAGCCATTAGGAATCTGATGGAATTTAGTAAAAGTAGCACCGTGTTTTACTCCACATCTTTGTAAGGATAGGGTACTTTGGATTATAAGGACACATATAGGCTGCACCTAAAGCAACAACCAAATTGATATTTTAATGTTAAACATGTAAAAATAATCATCATCATGGCGGTTTGGCTTTGAGGAATTATTCTAAATCTTTAGAGTTATTTTTGTCTAAGACAGTAAAAAGTGTCATTGATGGTTTGTTTGTGCTGGTCTCTATGGTATTGTTATTAGATGCAGAGTCTTATGTAATCATTCATCTGATGACTGTGTGTACAGAGCTATGGCGTCCTGAATCTGTGTGTGATTTTGGAGTTAGTGAATGAAAGTGTTCAGAGGACGAGTGTTTAAAGCAGCCGATAGACCAAATCAAAGAGTAACGTATATAGTGGGTGACAGGACGCTGATGTCATGCCTGAAAAAATCTGTGCCCTTTGAAGCAGCTGCTCTGTTTGATCCGAAATTCAATGGTCCATATTAACATCCTATCAGACAGTGCAAGAAAACAACTACCAAGTACAGACATAGATGTTCTCAGAAGTTAAGCTCATGTAAATGCACGATTACATCATGAAAAGCCGATGGAGTGGAAGTTAGCAGTGGTTGGAATTTGGTCGATGAGACGTGCTCCATTTGTTTTCCAAGTTTGAATACAGGACAGCTTTATGAACTTGACTCAGGACTCTTGCACTCTAAGAAGCAGATTTAAAAAATAAAAGTTATAAAATCTTTTATTTTTAAGTTTTAAAACTCCATTTCATAATTATGTATCTGGCTGTTTAGTTAATCTGTCGTTAGTTTATTGGTTTAATGTATTTCTAGAAACTGTATAAGCCAGAACATTACATTTATATATTAGATAATATCATGCTATTGATCATATTTAGACTTTCTGCCAACCTCAACTCTTGGTTTTCATTTATTTTAATACCTAATCTTCAAAATCAACATTGAACACTTGAAATATAATATTATTCTATGTTTAAAAAAACGTATTAACATTTTCAAACCACAAATATTTGTTTACAACAAACTAAATTTCACTTTACATAAGAAACAGTCCCGTTTATATTTGAAATACATTATTAAAATTATGGTCTTGATTTAATTAATAATTCAACAAATCAGTTATTTGCTGTACAACCTGGAAAAATGGGCTCCTGATTAATCCAGGTGTGTCTGACCTTCATAACCATGACAACACACCTGGATTACTCTGTCCAGTCATGAAAGACAGGAAACAAAGGAAGTAGTGGAGTTTGCAAATAGCACATGTGTGATTCCATTACTTGCAGTGCAGTTAAATTTTAATTGTAAAACTTGTTAAAAGGAAGTCTGTCATACTTTTAATATCTGGCATTTTGTTCTTTATAAATCTCCTAGTTACTGTTTTGTTTAGTTTCTCTTACTCTCTCTGTTTGTAAATATGTGGTTGTTTCTAACAGCTCTCCTTCTGCATCTCTTCACACCTGACTTTATTATTTTACTGCTTTTCTTTGTAACAGTTGCTTCTAGGCATTATATAAGGTCTGTATTCCGTTCAGATGTTCAGTCACGGTGTTAAAATAGTTACTTCTGCTCAGCCTAAATGTGGTGAAGATGCCCAGCACAAAGCCTGTGAAGTCTTTAAAACCCGCATCCCGGGACTCATGGTGCAGTGAGATAAAGAAGGGATGATTATGTGTGTGTGTGTGTGTGTGTGTGTGTGTGTGTGTGTGTGTGTGTGTGTGTGTGTGTGTGGCCATGTCTTTAATACCTGGTGGGGACAATTTCCTAGGAATATGCTACATTTTGGGGACTCATAGGTATTTGTGGGGACCAACAACTGGTCCCCATAAGGAAAGTTTCTCTTCTTGGGGTGGGGGTTAGGTTTAGGACTAAGGTGTGAATTGAGTTTAGGTTAGGTTTAGGGATAGGTATGTGTCGGTAATGGTTAGGGTTAGGGCAAGGGTCACGGTTAGGCCATATACAGGTGCTGGTCATAAAATTAGAATATCATGAAAAAGTAGATTGATTTCAGTAATTCCATTTAAAAAGTGAAACTTGTATATTATATTCATACATTACATACAAACTCATATATTTCAGATGTTTATTTTGTTTAATTTTGATGATTACAAATGACAACAAATGAAAATCTCAAATTCATCATATCAGAAAATTAGAATATTGTGAAAAGGTTCAAAATTGATGGCCCCTGGTGCCACACTCTAATCAGCTAATTAACTCAAACCACCTGCAAAAGCCTTTAAATGGTCTTTCAGTCTAGTTCTATAGGCTACACAATCATGGGGAAGACTGCTGACTTGACAGTTGTCCAAAAGACGACCATCGACACCTTGCACAAGGAGGGCAAGACACAAAAGGTCATCGCTAAAGAGGCTGGCTGTTCACAGAGCTCAGTGTCCAAGCACATTAATAGAGAGGCGAAGGGAAGGAAAAGATGTGGTCGAAAAAAGTGTACAAGCAAGTGAGATAACCGCACCCAGGAGAGGATTGTGAAACAAAACCCATTCAAAAATGTGGGGGAGATTCACAAAGAGTGGACTGCAGCTGGAGTGAGTGCTTCAAGAACCACCACACACAGACGTATGAAAGACATGGGTTTCTGCTGTCGCATTCCTTGTGTCAAGCCACTCTTGAACCACAGACAGCGTCAGAAGCGTCTTGCCTGGGCTAAAGAGAAACAGGACTGGACTGCTGGTGAGTGGTCCAAAGTCATGTTCTCTGATGAAAGTAAATTTTGCATTTCCTTTGGAAATCAAGGTCCCAGAGTCTGGAGGAAAAGAAGAGAGGCACTTCATCCACGTTGCTTGAAGTCCAGTGTAAAGTTTCCACAGTCAGTGATGGTTTGGGGTGCCATGTCATCTGCTGGTGTTGGTCCATTGTGTTTTCTGAGGTCCAGGGTCAACGCAGCCACATACCAGGAAGTTTTAGAGCACTTCATGCTTCCTGCAGCTGACCAACTTTTTGGAGATGCAGATTTCATTTTCCAACAGGACTTGGCACCTGCACACAGTGCCAAAGCTACCAGTACCTGGTTGAAGGACCATGGTATCCCTGTTCTTAATTGGCCAGCAAACTCTCCTGACCTTAACCCCATAGAAAATCTATGGGGTATTGTGAAGAAGAAGATGCAATACACCAGACCCAACAATTCAGAAGAGCTAAAAGCCACTATTAGAGCAACCTGGGCTATCATAACACCTGAGCAGTGCCACAGACTGATCGACTCCATGCCACGCCGCATTGCTGCAGTAATACAGGCCAAAGGAGGCCCAACTAAATACTGAGTGCTGTACATGCTCATACTTTTCATGTTCATACTTTTGAGTTGGCCAACATTTCTATAAATCCTTTGTTTTTATTGGTCTTCAGTAATATTCTAATTTTCTGATATGATGAATTTGAGATTTTTATTTGTTGTCATTTGTAATCATTAAAATTAAACAAAATAAACTTCTGAAATATATGAGTTTGTATGTAATGTATGAATATAATATACAAGTTTCACTTTTTAAATGGAATTACTGAAATCAATCTACTTTTTCATGATATTCTAATTTTATGACCAGCACCTGTAAATTAGTGGGACATGACTGGAAGTCAATGGAAGGTCCCCACAAGGATATTGTGACACAACATGTGTGTGTGTGTGTGTGTGTGTGTGTGTGTGTGTGTGTGTGTGTGTGTGTGTGTGTGTGTGTGTGTGTGTGTGTGTGTGTGACTGCGAGGATCTGACAAGCCCTCCAACTATTTACGAGCTCAGCCGAATCCTGCCTCACTTCATTAGCCCAAGATATGAGGCTGCTGCTAAAATTAGACGCCAGTGCAATCCTGATACACTTCTGATACACTCTTCCAAGTTCGCTGAGGTTCAAATGTTTTCGAGGCTTTTCTCCAAACCCCACAGTGCTGTACTCCATGCTAAATATATTAATTATACAATGATACTCCTGTTTCTCTGTTTTTTACATGCATGCAACACACACACACACAAAAAAACACACAACAGCATTTGCCTCATGATGACATTCTGGAGGGGAGAGAAACTCCAGTTTTACCTCATGGAAACATTAGGTCATTAGGATATTCATGGCTCTGGAATCTTTCTTTTAAGATATTAACCCTCTGAGTTTTCTCTCTTTCCAGGCGCTGTGTGGCTGCACTGTTAGTATTCCCACGCTGGAAAACCGCGTCATCTCCCTCCCTTGCCACGACATCATCAAGCCAGGAACACTGAAGCGAGTCAGAGGGGAAGGCCTGCCTTTTCCTAAGAACCCGTCACAGCGCGGGGATCTCATCGTGGAGTTTTCTGTACGTTTTCCTGACAGGATCCCCCCTCAGTCGCGAGAGATTATCAGACAGCACCTCCCCCAGTCATAGGAGCGCACCACCAACTTACAACCCCACCCATCATACAGACTTATTCACTTCTGATAGTTTAAATGTAAACTACATGTTATAGGACTTTACCATTTAGAAACAAATAATCCAGATAAAACCGTGAGGATTAGGATTGAATTTAGCTTTGTATGTGTTGTCACTTGGTCCAAGCACACACACCAGTATCCGGATAGTAAAGCGGTGCTGAAAATGGGCTTTGCACAACTGTGGCTTCTACCTGACCTTCTTTTCTTAACGTTTTTTTTACTGATTTGTCAGAGGTTTTATAAGCTGTCCTCCTCTCTGATCCTTGCCATTTTGTGAAAGGATGAGGTGTGAGGTATTCTTTTTTTAATTGGGATTATTTCACCTCGAACGTACCAGCAGATTGAGTGTTAAAACCAGGCACAAAGCCTGACTTTTATCTTCAACATAGCTAACATAGCTTTTGGCTATAGTCTGGTTGTAATTGTATGGTTGACCCTCCTCAAAATAAATAAACATCTGTTAGGTGAGAAGCCCCGCACTGCGCAGCAGTTCCGACTTTGGCATGGGCCGGTTCCTGGTCTAAAGGTGTTCCAAGGTTTTAAAAGATTTCAGTACCAGAACCTTCCCTTTATATCTGTCACATGGTTTAAAGTCCTTATGATTTATGCGAAGGTGCTGGTGTTGACAACACATTTTTATATCTGTTTAAAACATAAAGCAGAGCTGTGATTTGCTCATTTGTTGCTAAAAATGCAGTACATTGGCCCTCCAGGTCTGCCAAGATAAGAGAATTAGATCACCAGATGCAATGGGCTAAATTCAAAAGAGGGTCTGCAGGTCTTACTCTGCTGGAAATGGAAATAACTGTGACTCAGATAATGCAGCAATAACCGCACTTTGTTTTACCATAATCTTTACTGACCTTTTTTACTGGTCAGCATCATTGATGATTTAAAAATATAAAACTGGCGGCAGGACCTACATTTTAACCTACTCTATGAAATATTTTCAAAGCATCAACTTTCACTGAAGGCTAGTCAGCTTATCCTTAATTATGTAAGAAAAAAAAAGGTAAAATCATTGCAAAATTAGCCTGACGTAGTCCGACTCAATTCTAGTCAGAATATGAGTCTGATACTGCTCCATAGAGCTGTGATTATGGGGCGTGTTTTGAACGAACCAGGAAAAAAATGCCTCTGTACTCAATTGGATAGATCTACAACCAATAAGAGCAACGGAGTGCGTGACGTATGTTAAGCGACGCATAGTTGTTGTCAACAAAAATCAAAGCGTGCAGTTTCACGCCTAGAATAAGAAGATGAGACTTGATCGCGTTTCTCTGTTCCTCTTTTAAAATTAAATTGCTGTCGATATCTTCTAGAACAGACCTAATAGCAGAATCTACTCACCCAAACTCTCCAGCGGCAGCCATTATTGTTGTCACCCAAGCGCGCTTTGGTCACGTGGTTGATAACGTTACTCTTGATCATCTGTCCATCATCGTATAAAGCCCGCCCTGTCAATTTGATTGGATCGCCTGACAGTGGGCTTTAATACTCCCGCTACTATGGAGCAGAGCCAGACCGAACTTACCCGAACTCAAACCTTGTGGGCGGGACTAAGTTCGGACTGGCACCCAGGCTATTGCAAAATAGCATCTTCCGTCCTGATGGAGCAAAACACTGTGAACCTCTTAATACTTTAAAATCTAATCAGGCTATGGAGTTGCATATCCTGATGTTTAGATCTACCTAATCTTAACTATGTATAAATTGTTTTACAGTGATGTTCAAGATGAAATTTACCTATTTATCCTGTCTTGGTACGACTGAAGCTTAAAGCTAAATAATGAATTATTGTTAAGGTAAATTGTAAAGGCCAAATAAAAAATTTGTCTTCGGGACGAATCAGTTATGATCTTTATTATGTCATCATAATAGATTAATTATCATTATGCTTCAAAAACCGATCTGAAAAAGAAAAAAAATACTTAAAATATGTGTTTTTACCCTCAATTTGAGCGGATACTTCTGCAAAAAGAATGAGTATATTTGTTTATAAATAGGATAGTTAGATATTTTGCACTTGAAGTTAGTTTTTTTTCTGCATTTTAAACGTAAATCATATTAGATTTGGCAATTCATCTAACTTAAATCAAAGGAAAACACTCCTTCTCAGGAAAAATTGACTTGTCCATAATTCAGTGTATGCTTTCAGTACAAGATGAGAATCAGCAAGTAAGCAACCAGAGTTGCATTTCCCTTCATTGTCATTATCAGACAAGGGAACATATTTTTTTTATTTACCTGTATACTGTATGCAGCGTAGACATAAATACCCCAGACCTCTTACAGAGTTGAGCCCCTGGTCCCCTCTAATGGTGCAGCACAGAAAGAAGATATAACTATTCTTAAATTTACCAGATGTTTAATGAATGTAAGAATACCAAAGTACCAATAAATAAATGTAACAGCTAGTTGTACCTTAATCAATTTCTAATACAGTAAAAGCTAGGGAAAAACAAAAAAAACCCCAGCAAGTATGGTTTTTATCATAACCTTTTTTTGAGTGTAAATACTAATATGTTGTTTACAGAGCTCCTGCAATGAGGATTACATACCGGCCCATGCCAAGCTCATATTAGCCTACCTTGGTTGAATTGAAATGACAATCACAGCCTCCACCTGCAGTGTAAGCTTTTATATAACAACCTGCTTGTAAACAAGGTGCTTTCCTTCCTGCTGAGCTGTGCGGCTGTTAATAACTGATTAGCGGGCTCACTTTCTAAAGGACATACAGGTGCCTTACCTCAGTGTCAAACCAGTAACACATACAAAAAGCCATAAATACACAACAGGTGTTGCCCAAAGCTGTGTTAGACATTGCCATCTGGAGGTGGTAAAACCGTAAGTAAGCAATGTAATGTTTTTATAGTAATGTAAGTTTTTAGGGAGCATTTTGATATGTGACTGAGGAATTTTTGTAAGTACATTAATGCAAAGTGCCAAACAAGTACAGGTGGGAATATTCAAGAGGGAATAAATGGTTATTCTGACAGCCCCCTGCTGTATTATACGTTCTCTTGTGGCTTCTGAAGGCCATGTCTTGGTGCTAAAGTGAGCAATGCCAACAATAAACCACACTGGTGTCAGCTTTGTGATTTGAAAATGCTTCTGTATTTATGTATATACTGTATACACATACAGCTAAGTAGAACAGCCTGTTTAGGAAACAGGATTTGGAGCAGACGTTCTCTTTCTCCTCATTTTGTATTTTACATAAAAGATGTGAAAGATAGAGAGGTTTGTATAATTATACAGGAAGTTTTTGTTAGTCTTATATAAAACATTTTCTCTCTGGGATGTTTGTAAAAATACTGAGGAACATTGAGAGGATAAGGTGATTGTGTGGCTGTTTGTTGTGCCTCTTTATCCCTCAGAGGACACTTAAGTGTGGCTGCAACCAGAGTGCGGATACACCGCTGCTGAAAGATTTGCCATCTCCGCTTGTCTGCATTTGACAACACAGTATTTAATAATGTAACAAATAAACCAAAAGTGTGAGATTCACTTTGTGTGATTATTTTATTCTGTATGAACGTTATTTCTGACAGGAGAATTATAAGTTGTAAACATTAAAATGAGTTTTGACAAGGCTTAATAAACAGGGTAGGATGATCTTTTCTGAACATGATGCACAAAATCATTGGGGCGTGATCAAAGAACAATTAAATGTTTGCAGCAAATAGACAACGGAATCGTAAAAAAAGATGCAAGTTAACTGCTAAAGTTGATTGAGAAGAATCAAAGGATCTGATTATCTTCCAGTGCTGTCATATTCCAGAACTGGAACCTACCCGGAGAGCCTAGAATTACAAATTGCTTATAGATATTGCCAAGGTAAGGAAGGCTGAAACCAACCACCACTGAACAAGAGACAGAAATTGAAATGTCAAGACTGGGCTACAAATGATCTGTGGACAGACTTTTCAGAGGTTTGATGGACTGATGAGATAAGAGGGATGGACCAGACCAGATCTAAACCCCATCGTGATCTCCTGGGCCCTTCTTTAATGTGATGACAGTCCACCTGTCTGAAAGGTGTCTGGGAGGCTGTGGTTCCTGCTACACAAAAAGTTGATCATCAACAGAAAAAGAACCTGAAAGACTCCATGAATGGAATAATCCCAGGGCTTTCAGTGCCAAACTTGTTAAGTTTAAAATCAAAATCCAGGTAGGGAATGAGCTCACTCTTCTCCTCAAATGATGCAAGCTTCTTCTTGTACTTCTGTCGAGTAGAATTTGCACCATTTGGGTTGAAAGCTTGTAAAATACAACAACACAACACTTTAATCGTTGTCATCATAACAGCCGGCCCTTTTCATTCAATTTATCTTATGACATTCTGCTCACCTCTCAGGTAGAATGCAACATAAAGAAGAGCTGACCTTTGTATACTGACAAAAGGAAACTTTGGTTTGAGAGACCCGACAGCTGTCATGGATTTAATCACTGCGACTGCTACACCCTAGAGACAAAATAGTTAAATTTAAAGATAATTCTGAGCAGCAAATACACCATAAAATTCATGAAAATAGAAAATCTTATTTTAATAAGACATCTAACCTGTTCCAGGTAGCCCAGTGTTGGATGAGAGGGGAGGGAAATAGGCTCACAGAGAGGAGGAACCTTACAGGGCAGCTTTTGGTCAAAGGAGGCACCATGATAATAAAAGTGAACATGTTTTTCAGGCAGATTTTGGCATTTTAAGTTTATTTAGGCATTAATAAACTGTTTCAGAGGAGTGATCATAGTGATCTGTATCATCAGTGATGTGTTTCTCTCCCTGCCAGCTCACAGATCAGCTTCTCTGATTGGTTGATGTGGCGCGTCGAGCAGCAAAAGTTCAATTTGCTGCAAAAGCACCTGCAAACTGAATTCAATTCAGTTTGTTTAATTATTTATGTAGCGCTAATTCACAATACATTTCATCTCAAGGCACTTTAAAGAGACAATTCAACCAGATCATGCAGTCAGATTGGTTCAAAGTTTTCTACCTAAGGAAAACCAGCTGATTGCAATGACTGAATGCATGGCTGGACAGCAATCCTTCAAACCAAGCATGCTTATTGCGACAGTGGAGAGGAGAACTCCCTTTTAACAGGAAGAAACCTCCAGCAAAATCTGCCCTTTTTCTTTCTTAATTATTGAGTTTTAAGGTTTAAAATTTTGGATTGTCCAAGAGCACTAAACAAATTAATTCTCAAAACTACAAATTGTCATATCATTTAGCACATGGTGTAGAGAAGAGGCCCTGAAAGATAAAACAAAGCTAAAGTCAGTTTACCCTTATGAGAGTCACTCCTTGATCAAACAACACATTAGACTATACTCAAAAAAGACATCAGGAGATAGGACATCTAAAACTACAAAATATGAAAGTCAAATACTAAAAAGTTTTAAATAAAATCATTTATTAATCAATAATATGACAAATAGTATTTAATGAAAAAATAAAACACAACCTATACCTGACATGTTGTCATGTGCAGCACCTTTACCTGCAGCAAAGAAACCCCACAAAGTCAAGCGGTTTGTTAGCACACAGTCCAGCAGCAGATGCACGTTCATCAGAGCTTTGAAAAAAAAGATTTTCATCTTTTCACACCCACTCCTTCCTCTACTCCACTTCAGTCGAAGGGCAGGGCACCAGCAATTGCTATGGGTTACATAATAATGTCAACCTATTACTATGTAAGAATTTTATCTATTAAAGATCTATTCAAAATGATATTAAACTAATCAAATTTATGTGAGGTAGCTGAGAGTTAAACATCTGGACCTCTGAGCATAGCTACATTATAGATCCAGTTGCAGTATATCTTAACTTGAGTCAGTCTGTGGCCCTTTGCTGTTTGCTGTCTCTGTTTCTCCACCTGATTTCATATTACCTTCCTTTGCACTACTTAAGCAAGCATGTTATTGTTCAATACTAACAAAAACAGCAGTTTAATGATAAAAGGGATAAAGAACTGATGAAGCTCCTCTTTAATTGACCACAAGTACTTTTTGTCATATTAATGAGCCAAATCTGGAAACTCAAAACCTTTTTATCCAGTTGATTTGAATATTTTTACATTAGGAGGATTGTACTGTACCATAAAAATACAAATAAATATAATTTCCAATGAAGTTGACATTAGGCGTGTCATGGAAAAATATAAAGTACAATGATCCTGAGTTTGATCCAGCTGTTAACCTATATATGTTTGTTCCTCCATCTCTCACAGGCAAGAACTTCTAAATGAATGAAACATTACTGCTCATGTATTTGAAGGTTCATACCTGCTGCTTTATGAAAGTATTAAACATCAGTAAACATCAGCCATCTGTCTACATCTGTGCTGATACCTGCCTTACCTCTCAGTTGGATTCTTATTTCCAATGCTGTGGACTAGTGCTTTTGAGAAAATCTGTTTTTTTTTTTGTATTTCTAACAGATCTTAACTTAGTTTCACACATACATATACATACATACACATCTGTTATTATTACAACAGATTTAGACCAGAGAATTTGGTGTTTCTGTTTAACCTGAAGCAACTGGAGTTTGGACATTTTATCATCAGCCATGGGTAAACACACACTTTGACCTCAACTTTACGAAATTCACTTGGACACGAGTCTCATCAGACTCTGTAGGATCTTCGAGTGCTCCCAGGTAGGAACAGAAACCCTCATAGCTGGACTTACTGAGACAGATTTAGGAAGATTGAATTGCTTTCTCTGGTCTGCAGCCGGCTCTAGTTATTTGGGCAGGACCCAAATCATGTGAAATTGCATCTGTGGTTAATGAACAAATTGTGTGCACATGGTAGGTTAGGATGTTGCAGATGATTATTCAATCAGAAGGGTAGTAGCAAATTTGCACTGTGACCAATGGTATATAGCAGAGTCAGCCATTTCTTTGGGTAAACTTGTGTTTATAAAGGGTTTATGAATCATCTCAGAAGCTCTACATTCAGGGTAAAGACAGCTAACAACAGTAAGTAGGTCAGTAAAAAGTTTGCTGCCTGCATATGAAATGATTCATACTCTGCAATAAGTAGCAGTAGTTCTGTATTATGTAAAATCCACTTATATATTCATATAACCATGCTGCAGGGCAGAGTTAATGAACCAAGATGTGAGCTATAATCACTAACAGAGTATTAACACAGTCATGATGACTGGGTAATAATCTCCACAGCCACCATATGAGTTTAGAGGAGCCCTCAGATATTCATTCGATCCTGTTTGTCCATCAGGTTCTCCCAAGTTCTCAACTATGAGCACTTTTGTGACTCTCTCATCGGGGCAGAGGATGCCCATGGTTGGACTTGGCACCTGGAAGAGTGCTCCAGGACAGGTATACACAGATTTAAGAGATTAAAGCAAAGGCTGCTTTTTGATGTTGTTTGTGAAGTTTAACCATGCACCCTCAGGTGAAGCAGGCAGTGCTGGCAGCTTTAGAATGTGGCTACAGACATATTGACTGTGCAGCTGCGTATGGCAATGAGCAGGAGGTTGGAGCGGCTCTGGCTCTTTGGGTGGGTCCAGGGAAGGTGAGGAGCTTAATTGAATTATTTTATTGGTGTCAGTGTGAAGTGAGGTTTATCTTACTGCTCAGGTTTTTGCTTTGCAGAGGGTTTGAAACGTTTTATTTCTTGCTTGCATCTAAGCTTGACTCTTAATGATAAAAATCAATGCATAAATGACAAAACTATTTTATTTTCCTCTTTGCTATATTCTTCAGGATTTTTTTTTTCTTATGCGTTTTGAATAAAAAGCCGTGTTAACAGTTACGATGCATAGGCAGCTGGTACAAAAATGTATTTAATTTCTGTTAAAAAATTAACAACTTTACTCAAAATTATTTTTGGCATGTTTGGTTAAAATGTTACATTTTATAAACAGTTTAAAAAGAAAGATGATTTATTTTCTTTCCATGCTTTAACATTAAATCAGACCTGATCATTTCCTGATTTTGTTCGGTAAGAATGATCAAAATTCTTTGCAGAAGAGTAAAACTTTAAACCAAAAATATGTACGTAAATAAAATAATAATAAAAAAGAATGATATGCAAGGCATTGTTTGCATTTAGAGTATCAAATCTTTCATGGATTTAACAGAGGACAATGAGAGTTTCTACAAAAAAAAAAAAAACGACAGCAAAAGAACAATGGAGATTGAATTCGTCAATATAATGCAATATGCACAACTAACGTGAGGACATTAGTGGGGGCCCATTGTTTATCATTCTTTTAGCATGATTCAATTTCCATTTGTTAATTACTGCTGTATTTTTATGGTATATTATTTGTAACTTGTTTTTTGACCAAACAAACAAAAAGTCAGTCATTTTGCAGCATGATTGATAACATCTGTCAGTATGTTGGTAAATAGAAACAGGTAATTACTCTAGGCACTAATCATTAATTGTTTCAAATCCCCGGACTGAGAATGTAAAACCAATTACATGTATATCCTGAAGGGTTTCCCAACTGCCCTCTTAACCTCAGGCCCTGCAGCGTGACGAGGTGTTTGTAACATCCAAACTGTGGAACACCAAGCATGACCCTGAAGATGTTGAAGAGGCATGCAGGACTTCTCTTGCCCACCTGGGTCTCTCCTACCTGGATCTTTACCTCATGCACTGGCCCATGGCCTTTAGGTGAGTAGCAGTTATTTTAGCTAAAGCTTTTCCCCAAGCTGTTATACTGTGGTGTAGAGTCGACGTTGATGTGTAAGGAATAAAGCCCCGTGCTGAAAAAGAATGTGGATGTTTCAGGCGGGGGAAGGAGCTGATGCCTCGACGAGACGATGGGAGCATTTGTTACTCTGACACACACTACAGAGATACTTGGAGGGCTATGGAGAAACTTGTGGACAAAGGTCTTGTTAAGGCCATAGGACTGTCCAACTTCAACGCAAGGCAGATCGATGACATCATCAGCATTGCCAGACACAAACCTGTGGTTAACCAGGTAAAGCCAGACATTTGTGGAACTATAAATCTAGATGTGAACCAAAGCAGGCAAACTAACATGTTGCTCAGGGCCACCAGGCCAGTAGGGGGGTTAAAAGAGAGCCAGACTTTTATTGCAGAAAATGTTTTATATGTTACATACTGGTAAAGTGAAAAGAAAAAAAAACATAATAATAAAGCAAAATATGTTAGTAATATGGCAGTAATTGTTCAATGCCAGATTTTAGGTACAGAAAACCAAAAAGACAATTTCTAAGTTATTTATGCTTTGGTTGAAATCTCACACTGGCTCTGTATAAATCAAAGGTTTCATAAAGTTATACAAATCTCTTATTTTTGCTACAGGTGGAATGTCACCCTTATTTGTCTCAGGAAGACCTTCTGTCACACTGTCGGTCAGTTCACTATACTTGAAATCCTAGCCTTTGCAGAGATCAGAGGCATTCATTAAAGCTGACTCCATACTCTCACTGCTATTCCAGGTCTAAAGCAGTCTGTGTGACGGCTTATAGTCCTCTAGGCAGTGGAGACCGACCCTGGGCTTCCCCCGATGAGCCAAGTCTGCTGAAAGATCCACGACTCGAAGCCATTGCCCAGAAATACCAGAAATCTTCTGCTCAGGTTGTACTCAGGTAAGGTTGGTCACTTGCTTTGCAGTTAACTGTCCTTTAATGTTACTTGGGGTCATGTTACTGTATCATCTGACTTTGCAGGTGGCACGTCCAGAGGGGTGTGGTATGCATCCCCAAAAGTGTGACAGCCTCCAGAATCCAGGAGAATTTACAAGTGTTTGACTTTTCCTTGTCACAAGAGGACATGAAGCTGATCAATTCCTTAAACCGCAACACCCGATTTATTATTCCAACCGTGGAGGTGAGGCATTGCTATGATGAAGTCCATCTGTCTGAGATGCTAATCCATAGCTGAATAGCAAATGTTTCTCATTTCTTAACCTGGTTACCCAAACCCCTCCTTATTTCTGTCACTCTTCTGAGCCAGATGTCTCAACATAAAGTTCATAATGCTTTTAGGACAATAAAGTCTTGATTCTTTTTTTTTTTTTTTTAATGAACAGAAAAAGAGCAACATATTAGTTATATAAAGCATAAGAATACATATATTTTTTTCTCTTTACAGAAGGATGGCAAAAGAGTGTGGAGAGATGGAGAACATCCTTATTTTCCCTTTCATGATCCTTATTGAGCCATCGTCATTTTAAAGATGGTTCTCAAAAAACCGACATAGCAAAATAAATGAATCTGAACCTTAAAGAGTTTAGTTTGTTTTTCTTCCCATGTAACATTTATTCAAAATGTTCAGAATAATGTTTATTATTTAAGGTATTAAATTAGTGGAGGTAGTGGGAGAGAGTGACATCACGTGGTGAAAGGCAGAACTGCCCTTCAAATAACCAGAAACATTAAAAGGTCCCTGAATAATGAAACCAGCGCACAATCAAGATCCATTGCACAGTCATGTATTTAACTTTAAGCCCATTTTCTTAAAAAAAAAATCTTCCAAACAAAACCCAGTGAGATTTTTGTACAGAAATGCCAACCTCCTGAGAGCTTGTGCTCTGCAAAGATGAAAAGGGTCTCAATTTACATTAAATTATGCATCAGTGCTTCGTGGCATAGAAATCAGCTGAGGTTTAGAGAAGCCATCGTTGCTTTACCAACAGCCTCCAGCTCCCTTGCCAAAATCCAATCCTCCAAGTGACAATACTTCCTGGCTAACCAAAGTCTTACTGTAAAATTAAATAATCTCAGAGAGGTCACCAATAGAGGAAAGCATAAAGAGTTTTAAACTCAAGAGATGGCTGCACCAACTTTGGACTCTATTAAAAAAAAAAAAACAAGCCTAAATGAGCCAATGATACAATGCGCAAAACTTCTGATTTAACTTCACACTGAACCTCAAGGAATTAGGATTATGCACTAGTTTTTTTGTTTTTCCACTAGTTTTTTTGTTTTTCCAGAATCTGGTAACTTTATTTCCAGATTAAGAAAATTTACTTACTGAATATATAAGATAAGGATTTCAGAGGGATGTCCCTTTTGTTCTTGGCCAAGACACTTTACATGGCCAGTTTAAGAAGTGGCTTAGAAGAGAGAGCTGTAGTCTTAGCCACTTTGCTTAGCAAGAGGGAAAAAAAGCAGCAAAAATGATGCGTGTTTACTGGAGAGCTGCCAAATCAGAAGTTATTCCCATGATCAAAAGCCATAACATTACACAACTTCCCCCCCACTGACCAAATTAAATATTCAAATTTTATTTGGTATAAACTTACAAAAAAAGCCCCCAAAACATGTAAATCAATGTGTTTAATGAACAATTTTTAGCTCCGTCAATATTAATGTTTTAAAGGCATGTCAGTAAATAGGAACAGCAATGAAATTTAACCTAAGTGTTAAAAACCCAACAATTCAATCAAAAATCTAGAGACCTACATAGTTTCTCCATTTAGTGAGATTTTATTTGCAACAACATAACCTTGACAAATCTGTAATACATTAAATGCTACTGCTCATTTTAAAAAAGAAAAAAAGTCATCAGCAATGTTTGTCATTCAGTCTAGCAGAAATCCCCATCACTATAGCCATTCCATTAATTTTTTTTTTTTTGTGATATACAGACAATGTAGCCACTGAAAAATCGGCAACCCTGCCCTCTCTGACCCCGTTTATAGTTACTCACCTTATGTTTTCATCATCCCCGTCCCCCTCCCACATCCAAAGTCAGGGTAAACCAAGTGGCTACATGCTTTCTCCAAGGTAAATTATACAAAATAAAGAAAAAAAAAAGGGGGGAACACATGAAAGAAGCACAAAGTCCTAAAAATTTGGAATCTGGTGAGAATTTGTACAGGTGTGATCCCAGGACCGACCACTGTGGGGCAGTGTGCATTTATCCATAAAGGTCGTCATCATTATCTTCATTGAACACTGGACCACTACCAGTTCCACCTGAGCCGTGACTTGGACCGCTGCCGCCTGCAGTACTGGAGGGAAACCTGGGCAAAAAATAAAATGAATAAATATGAACTCCAGAATCTGACCATCATTTTCTGTCAGAATATAGACGATTTGGGAACTGTTCTCAACAGCCATGGTTGCCAAGCAACATGCTACTTTTGATCAACTGCTCTATCCTACAAAAGGAAAGGACCCCCAGCTAACACCTACAAATATCAAAATATACCTGAAGCTGCCGAAGCCTCGGCTTTGCTGCAGTGTCTGAGCAAACATCTCGTATTTGCGGATGTCATTGTCGCTGACAGAGCGACGGGCGAATCGCATTGCTTCCTCAAAGTGGTCCTTCCTGATCTCTGGCACAGGGTCATCCTCTTCTACTTCCTACAAGCAGACAGATGGAAATTGTCATGAGCAGTTCAGAAGAAGCAGAGAGCAGAATGTCAGGGAAAGCACCGACCATGGCTGACGGGTTTGTCTGCCTCTCCCTCTCTCTGCGGATCTCGTTCTCAATGCTCTCCCGGATGGCGAGCTTACAGGCCCGCTGGCAGATCTCTGTGAGATCAGCACCAGAGAATCCATTGGTCATCTTGGCCAAGAAGTCCAAGTCCACATCCTATTGGACAAAAACAATGTGTCATATTTTGTGTCAGTTTTAACTGTATACAGTCACTCCAAAAAAGACCAACTTGATACAGGGAGCTTTGTCATATATAAAAATACAACATTGTCACCAATAGTCACCTTGCTGATAGGGCTCTTGCGCAGGTTGGCCTTGAGGATGCTGATCCTGCTCTTCTCATCCGGCAGGGGGATGTAGATAAGCTGATCCAGGCGGCCAGGTCTCAAGATGGCAGGGTCGATGATGTCTGGTCTGTTGGTGGCTCCAATGATGAAGACGTTCTTCTTGCTGGACATTCCATCCATCTCTGTCAAGATCTGGTTGATGACCCGATCAGCAGCTCCGCCACCATCTCCAACATTGCCACCACGAGCCTTGGCTATGGAGTCCAATTCATCAAAGAAGAGCACACATGGGGCGGCTTGACGAGCCTGAGAACATGAACAACGATTTTATAGAGCAAGTCCATCACAGGGTTATTTTACATTTTCTATTTAGACTCAAGTATAGGATATAAAAAAAAAAAAATGTATCCAAAAGGCCGAAATACCAAAGCTCTAAAACGCTCTTCTAAATTTAATTGTTTGTCCTTTTTTCCCCTCATCCAACACTGATGCCAAGTTTATTTCAGAACCCTTTATTTTCTACAAATCTTAATATAAATCCTAAATCAGAATTATTAAAACACATTAACGTTAGAAGAAATTTTGGGAGATTTTCTTTCAGTCATCTTAAAAATATTATTTTCTGTTTATTTGATGGAACCTGAGGTTTCCAGTTTAAGGGCTGGCCTGGAAAACAGCTTACCTTATCAAAGATCTCTCTGACATTAGCCTCAGACTCTCCAAACCACATGGTGAGCAGCTCAGGTCCTTTGATGGAGATGAAATTTGCCTGGCACTCATTGGCAATGGCTTTGGCCAGCAGAGTCTTACCACACCCAGGGGGACCATAGAAGAGCACACCCTTGGATGGGGTCATGCCAAACTTCAGGAACTTGTCTGGATGCTCCACAGGGTACTGAATTATGCACACAAAACCACAGCGTTACCATAAGACAATATATTACATGTCTAAAGTCAATCAAGATTAATTGTCTTGCATTATCATACCTGCACCAGCTCCTGCAGCTCCCTCTTAACATCCTCCAGACCTCCAATGTCATCCCAGGTGATGTTGGGAACTTCAACAACCGTCTCCCTCAGAGCTGATGGGTTGCTCTGGCTCAGAGCCCACTGAAACAGTGTTGACAGAGTTAGTATTGACATAGACAGCCATTACTGGCCAAGTGATCCATCCAAACCCATTTGAAAGGATCATATTACAGGTTTACCTTGAAGTCGTCCATGGTAACGGCAAGAGAATTCATGACTTCAGCATCAATTGTCTCGTCTTCCAGGTCGATAAGGTCCATCTTCTTCCTAATGGCCTGCAGAGCAGCCTCGGAGCAGAGAGCTGCCAGATCAGCACCGACGTGGCCGTGGGTCTCATTGGCAACCTGTAAAAAAGGAGCAACAGAACAATTAAGAACGGTGAACCTTTGTTAGTTTTAAATGTGTACAAAAATGAGAAAACCTTCAGAAATATTTTGTTTGATCCGTTTTCCTATGCATTTCAAGACCTTTAAAACTAAGTTGGGGTAGAAAGGTGAGGAGGATTAAACTCCTCAAGGAGGGTCTGGGGGCGTTTGTATCATTTCATTTTAAGCACCAATCTGATATACTATGATAGAATAACCAGGCACAGTTATTTATTCATGTATTTATATTCAATGATTGTCTTGTCAGTTATTCACCGTCTTTACAGTAGGAGATGGAAAAACCTTTATCGGCATTATAGTAGGGTTGTCACGATACTAAACTTTTCAACTCGATACCGATACTAAGGAAAATATTCGATACTCTATACCATTTTCGATACCACAAGAATAAAAACTCAAAATTTCAACAGAAATATTTTGATTGATAATTAAAATACAATAAGAACAATATTTTGAGGTTGTATGCTATGCACAATATTAAGCAAGCTTGATAAAAAAACTTACAAAATTAAAATTAAGTTTTCATTCCTTTGCTATGCTTTACACACATAACAATGACACTAGCCAAACCGGTTAAGAAACAAAAATAATTCTCAGCAGCTGCACCTGTTACAAAAAAAAAGTCAGAAACTGAAAAGTGCAGAGAATTATTCAATCACACAGTGTTCTGAAAGTGCATTTTCCTCTATTCTGCACTTTAGATGTATGACTGTTTAGGTGCCACTGGTAGTAGCACTGTATCGATACTTTTGAAAATGAGTATTGTATCCGGATACAACTTTTCAGTATCGATACTTTTTTGAGTATCGATACTTTTGACAACCCTACATTATAGTAATAAAAGGTTGTTTTTTTTTTGTTTGTTTTTTTACTGAACCATCTCTGGCTGGAGCAGCGCCAAAAACACTCATGTTCTACTGGTTTTTCTAAAGGCAGAGTAGAGTTTGTAGTGAGTATAGCATGCACTAGACTCGTTTTAAGGATGTATGAGAGGCTGGCACACACTCCGGTCGCGTTACACATTAGACTGGCAACTGTGCACTGAAGTTGGTTGCACACAAAAAACATTGCCTATTACAGCTGGCAGTAGTTTTCCTCTTTCCAATACAGGTACTGCTGCCGACTCTTTTAGTGGCT